ATTAGTAAGGGATTGATTAATCAATGATGAATATAAACAGTGGAATACTATGCAGCTATAAAACGAACAGAGAGGCCATACATGGTAATATGCCTGTAATCCCAGCACTCTGGGAGGCTGAGGCAGGAGGATCACAGGTTTGAGTCTCACTTGAGCAATTTAGACTGTCTTAAAATTTAAAAAATTATTTTTAAAGGGCTGGGAATTTAGTTCAGTGTAAAGGCATTAGGTTCAATTCTCAGTACTACCGAAAAAAAAAAAGAAACCTGCCTGCCATGTACTGATAAAGAATGATCTCTATTACATACTTAAGAAATACAAGTATATTATTACCATTTGTGTAAAAAACCCAAAAAATACATACTTGTGTTTGAGTGTTTATACATAAAGCATACATAAGAAATGAACAGCTGTGATGGGTATTATTGGATAATAGTGGTGGTGGGACCAGGCAGATGGGGGACAGTGTAGGAGGGAGACTTTACTGTGTATCTTTTTATGTTTTAAAATTTTCAAACCATGGGAATACATTATGGAAAAACAAGTTTATACAAAGGATCAAAAAGTTAGTATTTGTTTATTGTTCCTACTAGTGGTGACTGTCTCCTTACTAGCTCACCTGGGACTCCAGCTGTTAGGGGTTTCTAGCACACAGTCCTCATCTTGAGGGAGTGGAGGTACTGTGACACCTTGGGTGTTATTATGATTGTTAAAATTTCAGGGCTAGAAATAGTATTATTGGGTACGTCGTTATTTTGTGTCATTGAACAATTTCTGAACCAAAAGATATTGAAAGTATGACTTGCATCTTTTTTTTTTCCCCTGAGACAGGGTCTCGATATTAGGTCAAAGCTGACCTTGAACTCACTGTGTAGCTCAGGCTGGCCTTGAATTTGTGGCGATCCTCCTGCCTCAGCCTCTTGAGTGCTGGGAACTATTTGCATCTTTATGTAGAGGGGGTGCTTAAAATATTATGAGTCCTTAAGTAGGGAGTACAAGAGCCTATAGAAAATTATTTTTTAAAAAATATCATTTATTTAAATTGTAAAAGTAACACATTTATTTCAAATTATTTTGAAACTCCACAACAAAAGTATGAAGAAGAAAACAAAAATTAACTGTCATAAAGAACGTGTGCTCTGGGCTAGAATGGAAGTTCTGTCAGCTCTGCTGTGTTGTAGCCTTGGGCTAGTTACTCAGTCTTCCTGAGCCTCAGTTTCCTTGTCTGTAAAATAGGGATAATAAATGTGTCTACAGAGCTGTAGGGGTTGAGTAATGGAAAGCACAAAATATATGATTTTATTTATTTATTTTTTGGTGTAGGTGTCAAACGCAGGGCCTTGTACTTGCTAGGCAAGTGTTCTACCCCTGAGCTATATAACCCTGGCTCCCAAAATGTTTTTTACTTCTCATTCAATATTATTCTTTAATCATTAGTTATATAGGTGACATGCTAATCATATTGATAAATCATGATTTGGGCAACCATTTGATCTGCTTCTAGGCTTTCACAGTTATAAGTAATACAGTGATGAACAACTTTATGCATAAATATTTTTGTATAACTTTCATTGCCTCAGGATAAATTCCTATGAGTGAAATTTTTGGTCAGATGGTATAAATATTTTCAAATAATAATTTTGGGAAATTCTTATCAAGAATTCTTTGAATTAAGAAAATAATTCCACAGAGGAAAATATTACATATGTATAAAATGTTTTTTGAAAATTTATCATATGAAACTTGGAAGAAACTATAGAATCTATTAGTAGGGAAATGATACTAGTGTAATGTGGTTTCATATTACTATTGAAAATAAGTATAAGAGAAATGCAGGAAAATGCTTGGATGATAAATTCATTTTGCATCATGATGTTAGTTACAACAAAGTGTTCATGTGGACAAAGGTTGAGAGAATGTAAGAAATAAAAATAGCTGTGTGAGGATGCTAAGATTAAGTTATGACTGATATTGCGGATCTTACACTTCGTGAACAAAGTTTTATCCCTTCTCTGGGCTATTTTGATATGCATTTCAATTAAGACCCTTGGCTCTTTAGAGAGCAGTGTAGTACTGTATCATATAATCATTCATCAACACAGTTGGAAAACTGGATGAACAGAGCCATCTTTCTGGCTGCTGTGTTGAGGGACATTTCTTTCTTTTTCTGGTGTTAGGTACTAAACTCAAGGCCTTCACACTCAGCTACATCTCCAGCCCTTTTTAATTTTTTATTTTGGGACAAGGTCTCCCTAAGTCGTTGAGTTGTCCAGCCTGGACTCCAACTTACAGTCCTCCTGCCTCAGCTTCCCAGAGTGCTGGCGTGGGGGCATTTCTTGTTAAAAAGAAGTCATATAGAAAAGGCACCTGAGTCAGAGCTCTGCCCTGATCGCTCAGAGGAGTCACCTATCCAGTTACCCTGGTGAATAATTCCAAAAATAAAGAAGACTCAAAAGGGCTAAGTGGGTAAGGCAGGACAGGCATAGTCCAGGGAAGGGTGTCGCCTGGCAGGAAGGGGATGGGGTTCCAAGCTGAAAACTGTAGGTTCGGCTTCCACTTCTGCTGCTTGTTAGGTGTGTGATGCTAACAAATCACTTATCTTGGTTTCCTAGCTGTGAAATGAAAATGACAAAATGATAACAGCTGACATTTGTTGTGTACCTGTCTGCCAGGTGTGTTTTAAGCACAGTGCTTAGCGGTTTATTCCCTGTGGCAGCCTTCTGTGTGGGGATACTGTCGAGCTCCCCCTTTACGGATCAGGAAACTGAGGCTTGGAGAACTTGGAGAACTTCCTCAGCCTCACAGCAAATGTGTCAAGGAGCCTCATTGGCCAAGTGTCTCTGTCAGTTATTGATAGCACCACTCTGGAGGATAACAGTGCTCAAGAAAGTGCTTTGTGAATTGAAAAGCAGTTATTTACCCCGGGTTAAATAGTGATCAGAGCATGTGTGGGTAACAAAGTAAATAGGCAAGAGGATGAGGAACCCTCCCAGATGTGCTTTAAGGCAGGTCCTCAGGCACTCCTATCAAGGAAATGATATATTTCTATTAGAGCTTCAGATATTTATTATAGAACTATTTTGGGTTGGTTTGGTTTTTGTTTTGCTGCATTGGGGATTGAACCCAGGGCCTTGGGCATAGCTAGGCAAGTGCTCTACCCCTGAGCTACACCCAAAGCACCTCGAACTGTATTTGAGACTCTAAGATAGGCCCAGTCTCCTCATATCTAATCCTTTTCCCTGTTCTGGGATTTTTCAAAAGATTCTGTTAGAAAATTTAGTGGTATTTAGAAAACCAAAACCAAATTAATTTCATACCTCCCCAGAAGATAGTTTGTCTAAGAATTATACTTTTTTTTTTTTTGGTACCTGGGATCGAACTCAGGATCTTGTGCTTGTGAGGCAGGCGTGGTACCCACTGAGCTAAATCCCCGGCCCTAACAATTACGCTTTTTGTGTTAGGATTATACTTTTTGTCTTAGGGGCTGTATTGTTGATGTTTACTTTCAATCAAACCAAAATAATAAGATTATAGGTTTTTGTTTTTGTTATTTTGAGGCAGTCTTTTCTTTTTCTTTTTTTGGTACCAGGGATTGAACTCAGAACTTTGTACTTGCAAGGCAGGTGGCACCACTGAGCTAAATCCCCAGCCAGAGACAGTCTTGCTATGTAGTTCCAGCTGGCTTTGAACTCCCTACACAGCTCAGACTAGACTAAAAGGGCAATCCTCCTGCTTCCTGAGTCCTAGGATTACAGATGTGTGCCGCAAAGCCTAGTTAGAAATTGTTTTAATAGCTTAAATGATTCTTACACCTTAGTTGGGAAAAGAAATAAACTGCTCTAAATAGAAGATGGGAGTAGGGGTCCATTCTGTGTATTTTTCACAGTTTATTACTGAAGGATTCTCTATAATAAGAGCAGTTTGTTTTCTGTTATCTAGGACTGTGTATTTAGTTAAAAATTCATGAGCCCAGTGTGGTGGTGCATACCTACAATCCCAGCACTTGTGGGAAGCTGAGGCAGGAGGATCGCTGTGAGTTCGAGGCCAGCCTGGGCTATATGGTGAGTTCAGGGTCAGCCTGAACTACAAAGGGAGACCCTGCCTCAAAAAACAAAACAAGGGGCCAGGGATTTAGCTCAGTGGTTCCGCCGCCTGCATGGTAAGTGCAAGGACCCGAGTTCAATCCCCAGTACCAAAAAACAAAACAAAACAAAAACCAAAAATGCATTCCTTAATTTGATGCAGGAATTAGTGGAGGAGTGGCACCAAAGAATATGTTCCATGTCCAGTTGTAACTTTTGCTACAAATTTCAAGCGGAAGAAGAAATGACTGACCTGGGGCTTAGCATGGAGTGATAAACCAAACTTGAGTGGAGCTTCTCTTAGGGAAGCATCTCCATATGTACCTTGCAGAAATAAAGATTTCAGCTTCGAGAAGTCTCACGTGGCTTTTTAAATGTCTCTTTCTTGGTTTTAGCTATTTGCGTGTCCTGGCCTATTGTGGGCATTCTATAAAGCTTAATGAATGAACTGACCCTTGCTTGAAGGCCAGCAGATGTAGTAGAAAAGAGATCCTGGGTTCCAGCCCCTGACTCTGCCACTTTTCTAGCTCAGTGTCCTTAGGCAATTTAGGCTGTGACCTTGGATGCATAATTTGTAGGATGGGGTTACAAATACCTAGCCCACTGGATAATCATGAAGAATATGTGAAACTGTGTATTAAACTTCCTAGCATGGGGCCAGGCTTAAAGCAGACTCGCACCAGATTGAGCAGAGTTATCTTCAGCGACCACATTCCACAGGAACATGTATACCCAGCTCTGTGCCATTTCAAGAACCAGTAAGAATGAAGAGGTCATTATAATGAGTTTTTTTCTCTCTCATCCACAGGGCTATGCTTAAGAGTAAAACTTCAGCGGTGTTTGCCATTTAAACACAAGGTAAGAGATGTTTTGTTGTTGTCTTCAACCCAAGGAAAATGGGCCACATTCAACAGCCCTGTTGTCTTTTATAATAGCTCTGTTGAGACATAATTTACATATCATACACTTTACCCATATAAACTATACAAGTCGGTGGTTTTTAGTGTATTCACCATGGTGCAGCCATCCCTATAATTTAGAATATTTTTATCACCTCCCAAAGAAACCTTCTGCCTGTTAGCAGTCACTGCCCTTTTCCTCTGACCCTTCCACCTCCTGCTTTCTCTCTCTATAGATTTGCCTATTCTAGACATTTCATTTACAGGAAATTTATACAGTATGTGGGCTTTTGTGTCTGGCTTCTTTGACTTAGCATAATCCATGTTGTGTGTATCAGTGTTTCATTCCTTTTTATTGCCTTATAATACTTCAGTGTATGGATACTCCACATTTTATTGACCTCTTCATAGTTGTTACACACCTGAGTTGTTTTTATTTATTTACTTACTTATTTTTACTCTTTATCTGGTGTGAGTAATGCTGCTCTGAGCATTTGTGTGTAAGATTTTTGTGCTGAGATATGTTCATTTCTCTTCTACCCAGGAGTGGAATTGCTGACTCGTATGCTAACTCAGTGCATAACCTTTCGAGGTGCTGTGGGACTGTCTTCTACAGTAGCCACACCATTTTGTATCCCCTCCAGCAGTGTGTGAGGGTTCTGATTGCCCAACATCCTCACCCAATCCGCTGTCATCCAGTCTGGTGGTAGCTGTTCTAGTGGGTATGAAGTGATACCTCCTTGTGGGTTTGATTTGCGTTTCCCTGGTGGCTAATGATGTCAAGCACCTTTTCATGTTTTCTCTGGTTGTTTCTGTATCTTATTTCAAGAACTGCTTGTTCAGACCCTTTGCTTGTTTTTAAATTAGGTTGTCCCCCCCCCCCCCGCGCCGCCCCAGTACCAGTAATTCAACTCAGGACCTTGCCTGGCAGGTTATCTTTTTATTGCTGACCTATCCGAGTTCTTTTTTTTTTTTTTTTTGGCACTAAGGATTGAATGCAGAGCCTCACACATGCTAAGCACATGCTCTGCCACTAAGCTACCCCCAGTCTCTAATGGTTCTCCATACTGTAAGTTCCTTATCAAATATATGATTGGCAAGTATTTTTTTCCCATTCTGCAGGTTGCCTTTTTACATTGTGTGTGTGTGTGTGTGTGTGTCTATGTGGTACCGGGCACTGAACTAAATGCTTTCACACTGAGCTCAATCCCCAGGCCTTTTATTTGTTTATTCTTTCTTGTGTTTTTTTTGGGGGGGGTACCAGGGATCGAACTCGGGACCTTAATATCTTTTCTTGTTTTGAAACAGGATCTTTCTAAGTTGCCCGGTCTGGGCTCCAGCTTGTGATTCTCTTGCCTCATCCTCCCAAAGTACTGGGACTAGAGGCATGTTTGCTCTCCATTTTCTTATTTTTTTTTCATTATTTTATTTTTTAATCTTCAAAATTTTCTGCCATGACATAGGAACACGTGATAAAAATGGCTCAACATCTTCACATGAACCAGTTGGATTCATTTTCATTCACAGTCTCTCCACTTTCTTTTTTTTTGGGGGGGGGTGGTACCAGGGATTGAACTCAGGACCTTGTGCTTGTGAGGCCAGCGGTGGCACCACTGATTGGCACCACTGAGCTAATCCCTGGCCCTCTCTCCATTTCCTTGATTATATCTTTTTTTTTTTTTGGTACCGGGGATCGAACTCAGGTCCTTGCACTTGCGTAGCAAGCGGCAAAACCGCTGAGCTAAATCCCTGGCCCTCTTGATTATATCTTTTGTACTACTTAAGTATGTATGTATGTACTTTATTGGTTTTTTGAGACATGGTCTTGCTACATGTTTCAGGCTGGCCTTGAACTCACTGGGTAGCTCAGGCTGCCCTTGGACATGCAGTGATCCTCCTGCCTCAGCCTCCCAAGTCCTGGGATTACAAGTATGCACCACCACGCCTGGCCACATAAGTCTTTAATTTTGATGAAGTCCAATTTATTTTCTTTCTAACATGCACTTTTGGTAGAATGCCTAAGGAAAATGTTTTTAGCCAACTATTAAGCGAGAATGTATTCACAGGTGATTGGTTATAGCTCTTGAATGCCTTGGTCTTATCTCTTCCTATCTCTCATAATTCTTTTTTTTTGGTACCGGGGATCAAACTCAGGACCTTGCACTTGCAAGGCAGGTGCAGCACCATGGAGCCAAATCCCCAGACCTATTTCTCATAATTCTTGAGCAGGTTTGTCTTCTGCCCTTTGCCATTCACTAGCAAGCCTCTGCTCAGTTCCTCAGCCACGTGGAGTTGCCCCCTCCTCATATTCCCAAACCCGATCCATGTTGTAAGGTCCAGTGAAATGCTATCTTCTTGGTGTCAATCTCAGTTTCTATAACAACAGTGATTTTTCTCCTTGAAGTCCCCTGGTACTTTTCTTTTCTCCCAGTACTGGGGATTGAACCCAGGGCCTTTACTCCAGCCCTGACTTTTGATTTATTATGAGACAGGATCTCGCCAAGTCTCTAAAATGCCTACATAGGGCTGGAACTTGGGATTCCCCGGGCCTCAGCTGGCCGAGTACTAGGATTACAAATGTGCGCCATCACGCCTGGCTCCCTTGCTCTTTCTTTGTCCTCTAATGTAGAGAGTATCATTTTCTCACATGTTTTTGCTGTCTAAGTTCACTTTTCATTCTCTCTCCGGGATTGTCAGAGTTTATATATGATCCACCTCTGTGTTCCCCACTGTGATATTATGCATAGTAGGAGCTCAACAAATGTGTGTTAAACTGAGTAAATTTTTGTTTTGTTTTGGTTTTTGAGACAGGGTCTCTCTGTATAGAAATTCCAGGCTAACTTTGAACTCATTATGTAATACAGGCTGTTCTTGAACTCACAGCAATCCTCTTGCCTCAGCCTCCTGAGTGCTGGGATTACAGGTGTATATCACCATGCCTGGCTAAATTGAGTAAATTAATGAATCCTGATACCAGTGGCTTATTTACTTGGTAAATTGTAATTTATTTCGCATTTTACCTGTTTTAATTAAAATACTAAAATTTTAATTTTGAAATGATTTCAGATTTATAGAAAAGGTGAAATATAGTAGGAAAACTCCTTTACCCAGGTTTATTAATAGTTAACATTTGCCACATTTGTTTTACCACTAATGTCCTCTTACTTGTGTGTGTGTGTATTTTTTTTTGAACTATTTGAGTACAGACATAATGTCTCCTTACTTCTACATACTGCAGGATATATTTCTTAAAAGCAAGGACATTCTGTTACATTATCACAGTACAGTTTTCACAACTAGGGAATTTAACACTGATACAATACTGTCATCTAATCTACAATACATATCCCAGCATCCCCTGTTTTCCAGTAGGACCCTGCATGGAGAGCCCTTCCTGCCTGTTCCCTCCCCACCACACATTAGCATTAGTTGTCATCTCTTTAGGCATCTTTAATCTGGACTAGTTCCTCGGCCTCCATCTTTCATGATCTTGATATTTTTGCAGAGTGTAGGCCAGCTATTTTGTACACTCTGTCAGGTTCAGTTCTCTGATGTTTCCTGATTAGATTGCTTATCCACTTTTGACAAGAATATTGAATAAATGTGTTCTCATTGCATCACATCAAAGGGCCTATAATTTTATTTTGTCCCTTTATTGGTGACAGCTTCCTCTGCCAACTGTTTGGCTACTTTGTGGTGTAATTCATATAGGAATAGCAGAGTAAATACTTGCCTCTTCCCCTTTCCTTGTCATTCTTTAAAGTAATGATCCATGCATAATTTTTAACCAAAATGAGTGTGTAGAGATTCTGTACCTGTGGTTTTGTGGTCTAGAGTAAGAATTTCTGCCACTAGAGGAATTTGTATGGTGGTCTGTCTTTTAAAAGCAATTGGACTAGTGATCTCTAAGACCCCTTTAAGCTCTAATTGGCTATGATTTTTTTCACTCATGAAATACACTTTTCTCAGTAGTGAATAAGTAAATAAGAATTAGTTTGTGTGCTCCAGTTTTCTCTGGAGAGTAGTCCTGTCTCTCTCATATAGCATGCTTCTTAGCCGCAGAATAAGTTGTCTCAAAGGCTCTGAGTCTTAGCGGTTAGCTAATTTGTAGGGATATAGCAGGGCCCAAAGGGACAGCGTAACCAATATTATACTTGAGAATGAATGTAACAAAATAATAGAGGATGAGAAAAGGAGGATATTGAAACTCTGCATATTGTTATTCCACTGTTATAAAACAAGTAATGAAAAGAAACTTCCAACCTTGAGATGTTTGTGAGTGGGTGTAAAATTTGTGTTAAGATTACATGAATGGGTCTAGAGAAAAATTTACAAGGAACTACCCAAGATTGCTAATGGTTTTCCTGGGGTGGTGCAGAGGGATGATTTGGGAAGAAATAGAGTACAGGGGAGGGATCTTCTCAAATAGAATAGCATGTACTCATACATCTCGTTGGTATAAAATTGTATTTATGTATATCATAAAAATATTCATGAAAATGCCCCTGCAGGCCTTCCCAAGTTGACCAGAATACTACAATTTTTTTTTTTTCTTTTTGGTACTGGGGATCGAATTTGGGACCTTGCTCTTGCAAGACAAGCGGTGGGACCACTGAGCTAAATCCCCAGCCCAGTTTTTTTTGCGGGGCGGGGTCAGGGTCTTGCTATATAGTTCAGGCTGGCCTTGAACTCGCAGGGATCCTCCTGCCTCAGACTCCCAAGTGCTGATATTACAGGCATGTGCCACCATGCCTGGCTCAGAATACTACAAATTTCAGTCCATGTTTTAGAGAAGAATGTGGGGAATTTGTCCCTAAATCTTTGGTGTCAGAAACAAGATTTGGGCTGTCATCCCTAGATTCTTGAGTCCACTGAACATTCTACCTCACTCCTTCATCTTACAGTGCTCTCAAGTTTTGCTTCTACTGTTTTTTCTTCCAGCTGGAAATCTACATTTCCGAAGGAACCCACTCGACAGAAGAAGACAGTAAGTGAACCTGGAAACATTATTAAAAATAGCTACGGGGGGCCGGGGATTTAGCTCAGTGGTTCCACTGCCTGCCTTGCAAGCACAAGGACCGGAGTTTGATCCCCGGTACCAGAAAAAAAAATAGCTACAGGGCTGGGGATTTAGCTCAGTGGTTCCACCACTTGCCTTGCAAGCGCAAGGTCCCAAGTTTGATCCCTGGTACGCACACAAAAAAGCTACAGATGGGGCTGGGAATTTAGCTCAGTGGCACCATGCCTGCTTCGAAAGCACAAGCTCCTGAGTTCAGTCCCTTGTACCGAAAACAACAACAACAACAAAAACAAAAAAGTCTTCCATTAAGATTGGTGTTAGAGGCCGGGGATTTAGCTCCGTGGTGCTGGCCTGCCTTGCAAGTGCAAGGTCCTGATTTAGATCCCCGGTACCAAAAAAAATGTATATATATTGCTGTTAGCAAATTATAGGCAATATAATGGCCAGTAGCTTTATTATATGAAGATCTATGTGAAATGATAAAAATGACCCAGTAGATTAATAGGAAGAAATATGAATGGAAAATTCAGACAAGACCTAATGAGTAAACATGGAAAATGTTCTATTACTATTAATCAAGGAAATGTAAATCACAGTAATACGGAGCTGTTTCTCACTTCTGGTCTGGTATGTGTATTTGTTTTTATTAATAATACTGGCTTTTGATGGTAAATTTATAGTTCATCTATTGCTCTTAGGAAATTGGTAAATAATTTGGAAAATAGTTCAGTGATATGAATCATACTATTTAATCCAATACTATTCTTAAGAGTTTTTTATGAAAGAAAGCTTTTTCTTTTTTAAAAAGATTAGTTTTTTTTTTGGAGATAAGGTCTCACTGTGTAGCCTAGGCTGGCCTCAAACTCACGGCAATCCTCCTGCCTCAGCCTTCTGAGTGCTGGGATTACTTAAGAAGATCTTAATTTGCTTTATTTTTGAGTCTGGAATCAGGTAACACTTCATTCCATACAATTGAAAAAGTGTTCCCAGAATGCTATATATTTAAAGTTGTTCATTATACCGTAGTTTTCATAATTAATTTAGAACACTTAAATTTTTGCCATATTAAATAACCATATGATTTTTTAAAAATAGAATTAAAGAGGAAATACAACAGTTTAAAAAAATGTATTGTCTCGGAATTTAGTTGTATAGAAATATTTATATTGACAATCCAGGAAAGAAAGAAATAGTTATGATAGAGTACTAGAGGATTATGGGAAATCTTTTTACTTTTCTCTTGTAAGTCTGCCTTCTAGACCTTTGAAATTGCATTGCGAATACTAAAATTAGCCAGAAACAGCACTAAGTTCTCAAGCAGTTAAATTCTTTGTGTTAGCAGTCTAATAAAAGACTGTTGCTCCTGTATATTGACACTGTTCCGCTAACTTACGTGTTTTGCAGTCAACAAGCAGATAAATGACAAAGAGCGAGTGGCAGCTGCAATGGAGAACCCCAACCTTCGGGAAATTGTGGAACAGTGTGTCCTTGAGCCTGACTAGTAGGTGTCATAGGAGCCACTGACTGTTAATTGTTTTATGGATTTGTTTAAACTCTTTGTAAAGTGTAAAAGACTCATCTTTAATACATAGATGATTTGTACCTCAGAGCATTTTCTAAAGGATTATTTCCAAGCAAGTTTTAATTATAAGGCTTACCTAATTTGTTCAGTGAATAACATTCTCAGGATTTGTAACACTTAAGTGATCAGACAGAAAAATATTTTCTAGTTATTATAAGTAAGATTAGTTACTATTTTTCTGATGCCCATTCTGATACAACCACTTTTCATGTCAAATAGCTGCTGTGCTCCAATGTATTCAATTTAAATCATTACTCTAAAATAAATAAAACAGATGATTCTTACAATGACTCACCTTAGAATATTTTTGTTGAATTGTAATTTCTAGTGTAAATGTCAACTCCTGAAAGAAATTTCCAAGGCTTTGTTTTTGCTAATTATTATGTAGAATTAGATCTAAAAATCAAAAGGAAACTTTAAGATCAGACCTTGTTTTCCTTCAAAGGGAATCTTGGACTCATTTATGGTGAAGAACAAATGTAGAGAGTGTCTGATGATTTATACAGTTGCAGATCAGTAAGTGTCCCAGCTGGGCAAGATAGCACACACCTGTAATCCCAACTACTCAGGAGGCTAAAGCAGGAAGATTGCAAGTTCAAGCCCAGCCTGAGCAGTTTAGAGCCAGGTGTGGTGGTGCTCGCTGTAATCCCAGCATTGGAGGCTGAGGCAGGTGGATCACAAGTTCAAGCCCTGCCTGCACAACTTAGCAAGACCCTATCTCAAAATAAAAAGGCTGGGGATGGAGCTCAGTGCAAAGGCCTCAGGTTTAATCCACAATACTGAAAAAAAGGTCCCCCAAAAAGTTTGATTAAGCCATTCTTAATTTGTGTTTCTTTATATTTTGTTCAGGTTGCTTTAGAGGTTAATGATCGTTTGAAGTGTAATAGTATGTTAGACAGCCTTCAGCATAGCTCCCAGTGGTCTTCACTTCTTCGTATTTGTGCCTTTGGATAGTTTGCTTCCATACTGAGTCAGAGCTGGCAGTTGCACCCAATTAGGAAAGAGAGTGTGTGATTTCTGAGCCTAGATCATGATAGGTATTGCTGCTTGGTCTCTTGGATTGCTAATTCTGCCAGAACCTGGTGCCATGTCATGACACACTCAAGTGGCCCGCTGGCGAATTCCCTCTGGAGAAAACCTGACGCTCCCGCCATCAGCCAGCACCATCTTGCAAACCATGGGAGTCAAGCATGTTCACAGGGACCCCCCAGCCTCCTTTAGTTCGACTGACTGGATTTTGGGTGAGACCCTGAGCCAGAAATTCCTGGTGACCTCCTCCCAAGTTCCTGACACAGGAAGCTATGAGAGATAATAACTACTCATGGTTTCTACCACTAAGTTTTGGGGATGACTTGTTATGAAGCACTAAGTTACTGCAAAAGATACAGCTGTGCTGAGTGCCAACCCCATTTTTGCAGAAGCGAGGGGAAGTGACACCTATCACTATCTGTGGAGGGGAATTACAAGAGGAGTGCTTGGAGAGTTTGGAAATGTGGTGTCTTGCAGGTGGGAGACTGAGAAAACTCAGGTCTGACTCACACCTGAGAAAGAAAGTGCGAGTGGGCCGAAGGCCAAGAAGAGATTCCTGCCTTAGAAACCTACAGGGCCTGGGAAGGCCACAGTCACTATTTTGAAGGCAGAGCCGTGCCTGAAGGTTTCTCACGGGTCCTGCCATGGCGTCATGTTTGAGATTGGTCAGAGGCCATCAGCAGGGCACGGAGACCTCAGCAGGAAGCATCTAAACATGTACTGCCTGGTCCCCAGACTGACCCAGAAGAGAGGACCGTGACAGCCAGAATAGGGATGCATCTGCCACCTGTGAAAGTGTCACTGCACAGCAGAGCAGCAGCTCCAGTCACCAGGCAGGCCTGGAGAGCAGGGAGCCAAGCAGTGAAGTGAGACTCCCTCTCTTAGGCACTGCCCCTGCTGCGAGCTTCCAAGGCAGTTGGGGGATAACTAGAAAAGGGGGACCCCAGGAGCGGGCAGCCATCCCTCTTCTCCACTGGAGGTTAAGCTTGAAGCAAGCTCAGGGTGGCAAAAGATTTAATGCCACGTGTGGTTTGGGTGGCTAGAGGTGACCAGGTACTTTAATGAAATGAGATTGTATCATAAAGAGACAGGAAGGGGCTGGAGGTGTCACTCGGTGGTAGAGCACATACTTAGGATGCGCAATGTCGCAATTTTGCTGTAGAAGTTCTGTGTCTCCTTTTTTTTCTTCAGCTCTTTAAAAAAATCTGTTCTTTAGCATACAGAAGTAATGAAATATTTGTGTTTTATATTTTTATGCTTTTTTGAAATTTTCCTAATTTTGATTAAGATATGAATTTGATTGTAAGTATTTTGAAATGGGATCTCATTGTGTAGCCCATGCTGTCCTCAAACTGCTGGACTGGAGTAATCCTTCTGCCTCAGCCTCCTGAGTAGCTGGGACTACAGGCAGGAACCACCATCCCCAGCCTGTGTTCGTAATTTGTAATTATTACTGTAATTCCGTGTTTCTGAATTACAAATCTACCAGGAAAAGGCTCTTAAGACGAACATTTAATTTCTTCATGGCAGTCTGTGGCCCAGAGCCAAGGCCAGAAATAAGGGTGTACCCCTCCTCCATATCCCCTACCTAATGCTGCATGTCCACATGCGTGCCACGTGACAGCTACTGCTTCTAGAAGATTCGAGAAGCATTGTCTGAGGGGACTCTCGAGCTCATGGACCAGGGTCCCTTGACTGTGTTGGGACTTAGAAAACAATACTCGGAAGTATGGCACTTTAGCATGCTCAGTACCTTGAACTAAAGAGACTGAAGGCGTCAAACGCAGTCTCTCCTGTACTCCTGTCTCCCACTCCTTTTTGTTTTCTAAAGTAGGTTTGACACCAGAATTTCTCTTCCCTGAGACAGGTCATAAAAGCTAGAAGTGCTGTCCACCTCAGCAAGCCATGAAACCCAGACTTTTAACCTCCTGACCTTTGCCCGTCCAGCTGTGTAGGAGCTGACCCTAAGGAAATCTCTGACTAACTTGTCAGAGGTCACAAGACTGAGCCACAGGGGCCCCAGCCCATGTCTGAAAGAGGACACTGCCCGAAGAGGCCCAGAGGACTCTGAACAGACCAGGCTTGTTTTCATTAGGTGACTCCCTTCTGTCCAGTCACATTTCTGTCCACTCTTTGTCAAATCTAAGCATAAAATTAGTTTTTCCTGGGTTTTTGAGGCCTTCATTTCAAAAAAGTTTTTATTAGTGCATATTTGCAGTACATAAGGATTACCTTCATTATGGGGAATATGTATGTGTACATAAAGGAGAGGGTTCCTTGGTGATTATTTGTTAGAGGCAACTGGTCTCCCACTGGGTGCCTTTACTCGGGGCAGACACTAGATGACAGCAGAGCACGACTCCTTAGAGACACCATTGCTCGCTGCGCATGGCCAACCTGGGTGACTCCAGCACCTCTAGAGGGACCCCGAGGGTGCAGTCTCTAACCCTTTAGACTGGCGATATGAATGGGGCCCATCTGGCGGGACTCTGCAGCTCATGCCTTTCCTCTGACTGGTGATAATCACAGAAGATTCTTAGATGTGGAATTACTTTGCCAACGATTATGAATAATTTTGAGCCTTTGACACCTATTTGGTGAATAGCCTTTTAAAGATATTGTACCAACTGATACCCATGAAGAACGTGAGGATGTCTCTCCTCTACATTAATGTTGACTATTATATTTAAAAATCTTTGTCTCAGGGGAAGGATAAAAAAAAGGTTTTTAACCATGTTTATATCCTTTGTCGAGATGTGGCAGGAGGATTGCCATGAGATCGAAGCCAGCCTGGGGTACATAGTGAGTTCAAGGCCAGCCTGGACTGCATAGCAAGACCTTGTCTCAAAAAAAAACAAAACAAAAAGCCAATTAAGCCAGACATAGTGGTGTCCACCTGTAACTGCAGCAGTCTGGGAGGCTGAGGCAGGAGAATCACAAATTTGAGTTTAGCCTGGGTGACTTAGTGAGATCCTGTATCAAAATAAAAAAATAAAGTAGCATTGTGGCACACAACTGTAATCCTAGCACTTGGGAGGCTGAGGAAGGAGGATCACAGAATTCAAGGCCTGCCTGGGCTACATAGTAACCTCAAGGGCACCCTGAACTACATACTGAGACCCTGTCTTTAAAAACCAAAAATAAATAGATAAATAAAATAAAAAGGGCTGGGGATGTAACTCAGTGTAAAAGCCCTGAATTTAATATCCAGTACTACAAAAAAAAAAAAAAAAAAGCAAGTTATACAATGTGGACATTATCATTTTGTGTCACATATACTGCACTGCAAATTTATTTCCCAAATTTTTGGTGCACAAGTATATTTAACACTGTTTATTCAGCTTCTGAATGAGTAATACCATTGGGTGGTTCAACAGCAAGAAATATAGAAAAGTGCACAGTGAAAAGACTCCTCCATCCAGTTCTCGCGCTTTTCCAAGAGGTCTTATGCTTAATTTCTTACTTGTTCCAGGGAGTTGTTAGGCCTATAAAAGGCAATACAAATATATATGTCTTTGTTTTGTACAGATTTTAGTACATGTCACCCCGGACCGTGCTATTCTATGCTTTACAATTTGCTCAGCAAAATATGGGCTATTCCTGTAACACTCTACAAAGAGCTTCCTCATTTTATAGAATGAGACTATCCCACTGGGTGTATCATCAGGGTTTAACAAGCTTCCTATCGATGGGCATTGAGGTTATTTCCATTATTTTGCTTTTACAAACAGTGCTGCCATGAACAACCTTACGTATACTTCATACATGTACAAATAAGTCTCTAGAGCAAATTCCTGGAAATGGAATTGCTGGGTAAAAGATTTATAGTTGTAATTTAGATACTGAAAAATTGCCCTCTATGATACTTGTACTAATTTACACTGCTATCATCAGTGTATGAAGGCACCTGTTTCACTACAGCCAAACAGGGCATTATGAAATTTTTGATTTTTTTTTTTTCTGAGACAGGGTCTCAATGGGTAGTTCAGGCTGGCCTTGAACTCACTATGTAGCCCAGGCTGGACTTGAACTTGTGGCAATCCTCCTGCCTTAGCCTCCTGAGTGCTGAGATTTCAGGTATGCACGACCAAGCTCAGCACGATTTTTGTCAAACTGATAGGTGAAGTTTTAATATTTATCCTATTTCTCATGTTCCCTTACAATTTTAAAGCAATTTTTCTTTTCCTCCTCACTAATTGCAATCTTATCTTCTATATGTGAAATTCTATCCTCACATTGGTTCATTCTGCTGCACAGACTT